AGCAGACACATCCTGAATGAGATATGATGAGTTAATAGAAAGATCAAAAGACTCTCAATCAATAATATAGGAATAATCGATTTGACAGATCGAACATCCTGGACGGATGAAGAAAAGAAATGAGTTTGTTAAAAGAAGGTAACATGGGCAGACATGTAATATTTCTTGGTTTGATGAGAATAGAAACAATATATTTTTAAAGACGAGAATAGCCTAAGAAAACACACTTGATAGCCCAGGCGGAGAGTTTGTCCAATCTTATAGTCATATTATGACAAAACAAATATATCCAAAGACACGAAGGGAAACATGAAGGAGAGGTTCATTGGGATAAAGAATGGAATAAATAACTTTATTGCTAAGAAAATATAATGATATTCTATTAATAAGAAAATAGACAATAAAGACAACATCACCCCAATAATGGACCGGTATATTGCCCCCAAGCAATAAGGTACGTGTAGTCTCAACCAGATGGCGAGATCTTACCATTGATCTTGGGGGGACCAAATAATATATTATTAATAAATAAATATAAAAGGAAGAAAGAAGATGAAATGGTGAAAGGATAAAATTGTAGATATATACTTAAATATATTAAATGATCATTAAGTTTAAGGAGGACAAATCATAAATTGTGAGAGTTACAAAACCGAGGAGGGGCCAAAATCATAAATATATTAAATATTTATTAAATTTGGTAGAGCCAAAATCATAAATTATATTAAATGTTCATTAAGTTCATAAATCATAAATTATATTAAATTATATACAAGTAAATATATTAAATGTTCATTAAGTTTGGTGGAGCCAAAATCATAAATTATATAGGAGTTACAAAACTTTGGGCGGGGCCACGATCCCCCTAAACTCCCTAGAAAATTTGTCACCGGTCTCAACTAAGTGTTCATTTTTCCTTTCAAGCAACACCATTTTGCTGATGTAGAATGCCATGTGATTTTAAGAGTGCAGAAAAATCAAAACGAAATATTTGTTGACGAGTCATATTTTAAAATTTTATTAACTTTCTCAAATTGATTGAAAATTTCATTAAGAAAATATGTAAATATAGGCAAAAGTTCAAAACGGTCTTTTATTAAATAAACTCAAGTGCATTTAAAAAAATCATCAATGAAGGTAATAAAATATTTAAAACCAAAAGAAGAAACCTGACTTGATCCAACTTTAAAATAAATGATAGAAAAGACAGATTTACATCTAGATTTAGAATGTCTAGGAAAGGAAGACCTAACATATTTTTCTAATTTACAAGATTCAGATTCTAAAGTTTAAAAATGACTAAGTTCTGGAATCATTTTCTTTAAATTTGCCAAGTGAAAATAACCTAAATGTTCATGTAAAAGTTGGGGGAAGGAGATGCAAAGATGAGTTAGATCCAAAATAATAGAGACTTTTAAATTTATGTTCTTCTCCAATTAGTCAACTTGTTCCATGTTCTTTTATAAGAAAAGAATTGAAATCAAAAGTTACATAACAATTTAATGATTTTGTTAGTTCACTTAAAAAAATGAGATTAAAAGGACAACTAGAGACGAAAAAAACACATTGTAAGATAGGAGAAAGAGATATTTAATCAATTTCTTAATAAACAACTTTGGATCTATTAGCTAGAATTATAAGATGATGATTTTTAGAATAAGAAAAAAAGAAAATATAAAAATAAAAACACCTAATCAATAATCTATGAACTTTGACCTCCACATATTATAAAATCAGGTAGTTAACATGTTGATAATTGAGACTAAACTATTAGTCTTCAACCTTAAATATTCTTAATATTCCCTTAAATATTCTTAATATTCCTTATAAAAATTTTTGGAACGGGTCTAAAGGTTACTTTTTATCTAAAAGAAATATGGCAACACATAAATGGGAGAAAAATCAATAGAGAACCCCAAACGAACGGCATACAACAACAGTAGCATATGACGGTAATAGCAAACGACAATGGTGATAGTGTCGGTGATCGACGATAACTGACAGCAGGTCGAACAAAATAAGAACAGACTGAGCATAATAAATCTGATACCAACTTAAGAGGAGAAAAAAAAGAAATATTATAATATGTTTTAATGACTTAAATAACCTCATATTTATAATAGAAGGTGGTAGAGATATATTAATTAAAGAAAAGACGGAAAAACTAAAATCTAAATATACAACTTATGTAGATATATAACCGATAGATTTACACAGCTAATTTATATTTATATTAATGTAGTAAATATAAATCCTGTATCTCACTTTTCACGGTATAAACTGCAGAAAAATATTTAATTAGTAACTAATTTTTCAATTTACAATCGACTGATAATCGAGTTTTATTAATATATTAATAATAATGTCTGTATATTATTATTATTATTATTATTATTATTAAATTTAAATGGTTTGTAATTGAAAACCTGTTGCGAATATATCCCCAGGTGGATAAAAAATTATAATTTTGGAAACTGAATCTGATACAGAAGTTTGATGGATTGGACTAGTAAGTAGTTTGATAACCTGTCTAATCATTGCAAAAGATTATACATTTTTTAATTAATTAGATCAAATTAATAATATATTTTTCGTAAAACATGTAGTTTAGTCATTTATATCGTTGAATAATTTTTATATTATATTGATTAGTGATTTTTTTTATTTTAGTAAATTTGTTATTGTTAACGAGTATTATTAAAAAATAGTAATATATATATTAAGTACATCAATGATTTCAACGCATAGTTTACGATTACATCTTTAAAACACCAGTTATATATTTGTGAATGGATATGAAAGAATAACACATAACTTGCTAAAAATCTCGAAACATTAAGATTTTGAATATTTGTTCATTTTATATTATTCAGCTTGTGAAATTTTATTTTCTGAAACTTTCGCAGATGCTTGTAATCCATCACCCAAGATAATAACTTTGAAAAGGTGTTGATATTTGACAACTATTACTCTATTACATGGTGAAAAAAAGAAGAAGCAAACAAGCATTATCCAGAAAGTTTTGGGATAAACCATAAAGTATATCCCAATCCTTCTCAGATACCCAGGAAGCCATTAAATTAGAAAGAACCTTATTCTTCTCTTTGAGATGCGGCATCACTTATCTTATCACGTAGAAGAAGAAGTTGAAGTGGTCCAAATAATGTGCCACCATGCCCATCACAAATTATAGCACGAAGGAGAAACAGTGACGGTGGTCAAGTATGTGTGTTGGTCGCTTTCATTATTCATATTCAACACTGGCGTCTGCTTCATAAGGTGTTCATATGTATTCGTTGACCTTTTCTTCCTAACAAGGGTACAACCATCTACTGAAAAACTTGTCACATAATAAAAATAAATTAGAAAAATTGAAAATGTTACTTTATTACATCCAACTTTTTCAAAATGGATCATAGTTTTCATTAAAAGTAAAAAAAAAATCACCTTATTATCGTTATAAACACACTATTATGTACAATTTCAGAATGACAAACAGTATATTTTAAGGTGATATTTAATGATAAAAAATAAAACAGTTTAAAGAAATTGTCGCTTTTTATTCGACCTAACAACAACATTGTATCTAGAAACCTTAAACATAGAAACTTGAATTTAATGCAGATGCGTGGGGGTCATAAAGGAACTACTAATTAAGCTTGCACGATGTAATTGATTACAGATTATTAATAAAGAAATTGTTTTAAATAGCTAAAAAAAATTACTTTTCAAAAACTTGAAACAGGTTCGAAAACGTTGGCATTAGACCGCATAAAAAAAGTTATTCTCTAAACTTACTCTTTATGTGCTATATTTGTTTTCTTTCTCTCTCCCTAAACAAGTTTCTTGACAAGACTAACCCGTAGTCTTCATATTTATATAAACCTTTACCTCAGTTTGGTAATTTTCCACAACTTTGAATGAATTAACATTGTGAATGTAGATGGCTGTAGTAGGAAGATTATGCATGACTAGTGCATATCAACATTTAATCTAGAAGCAGCCACACAATGAGCACTAACGTGAACATCACAACCACTACCGGGCCCAGAAAGAAACTGATATTTGATATGTAAGCATTAGTCATATTGGCTGCATAATAGCCACAACAACATTTATCAAGCTAATAAGATATATATACATATATATAAACTTTACATTATTTTATTTATTTATAATGTATTTATCAAGCTAATAAGATATAATTGAAGAGAGAACAATTGGAACATAAGAATCACATAAGAAAATATAAGGTGTTTGTTATTACTCAATTATATTATTGAATAGAACAGTGAAATAATGAAAGTGCGCACGCACTCCTCTCTTGGTCACTCATGATGTTGTTCATGATTGAGCATGAAGTGTTGGTTGTATATAAAAAACGGCAGAGTTTGGTACGAATATGGTGGATATATATAGTGGACATGGAAAAGAAGTTTTGACAATCATTTTCTTAGTTCTTTACCTAAACCCCCTACGTCCTACTTCCTCATCATTACCTATTTCAATAATACATTAATCGACTATATATAATCCATTCATACTCTCTCATGGTTGATGAATCACACTACTCCGAATAAAAATGATCGTACCTCCCACATGCATGCACCTGTATATCTTCTTCCATACTTTTTGGTCACTAATGAAAAACGAAGCTACTCAGAATTCATTAAAAAAAAATGAAAAGTGACTATGACATCTAGCTTTGAATGTTTTAAAGAATATTTACGAGTGAGTGATGAAAAAAACGAATCAATGTATAAACTAATGTTGAATTATGAAACACAGTTGTAAGGAAAATATTGTGGTTTGCGAGAACAAAGTGGAGCATGCTACCTTAGGTGTAAGCTGCCCCGGAAACATCCACCAGATGGTATTTAAAAAAGGTAAAGAAAGAAAACAACATGAAGCACCTGAAATGAGGGAAAGGGGAAACAATAATTAATGCATGTTCTATGTTTGTTAAAGCATATTTATTCTCAGTGTGTTTATTGGGTGTTATGGAAGAGTTTGGTGATGGAGGAAACATGGTTTGTGATGCAATTGCAATGGAGAAATTTGGAATAGAGGAGATATTTGAGTCTCGTCGAGTTTGTCCCAGTTTCTACGTGACGCTGACCCCTTTGAATTTGTACATTCAGGGATGGGATATGGGATATGGGAAGGGGTGGGACCCTTGTCACATGCCTCTACCAATACGCCATCCAATAGAGGACCCACACACACCCCAATTCTGGGGACCCCAATGTTTCTTTCTTTTCATTACTATCTTGGTTTCAAGAATCAAATATATAAAACTTAATAAGGTTACTTCATAACTATATATTTTAACACTACTGTTTTAAATGTTAATTTAATTCTTAAAATATTATTTTTTACCGTTGGGATTGTAAGATCATATTCTTATTTCTAAGAGCTGAATCATTTAAAACTCTTATTGAAACCTTATAGAGTGTAAGATAGGTTAGAAAATAATAAATATTGATCTCATTATTCGAATTTAATTATAGTCTTTTAAAATATTGTGTAAGTGTTTATGATATACAAACAAATTAAATTTGCAGTGATATAAGAATCTGACACATATATAAGAATATAGTTGAGAGTCATTGATAAATACTAGACTTTGGTAAAAATTAATGGATATTAAAAGTATATGATGTTATATATATTAACTTATCATGTTGTTATTCAAATTTTGATGATCAGAACATACAAATAAAGGGTATTACATTTAGTAGATTTAAAAAAAAATTAAATAAATAACTTTTAAAAATTATTTTAACATTATTTATTCGTGTTTTATGCTTATTATGTATATGTATAAAAACAATATACACTTCAAAAAATAAGATACATACCCTTTACTAAAGGATATGTAATCATTTATTTATTTAATTACTATATAAATTAATATATATATATATATATATATATACAGAGAGAGAGAAAAAAGAAATAGAAATAAAAAGAGAAGAGATATTCATTTAAAAATCAGATGTAGAAACTTATTTTTTTATCTTCAGAATTTTTTATGAATATATTTCATATCAATAAATATAATTATTAATGTAATTTAATCTGTACATATAAAAATTCATTAAATAGTTTGTACGAATGTAAAATATTATCAATTTTTTATATATTATCCTTATCTTGCATTTTTAATTTAGTTTCTACTTAGAATAACACATTTTTACTTTAATTCACATTCACATGCGAGTAGTGTAATTTTAATTTTTCTACGTTTAAGGGATCAAACTAAAAAAATCATATATTTATGATAACAAAATTAGAAATATGTTAAAATATATACAAATTAAATTAAAAATGTATAAGTTGAGAAAAATAATACAAATAATTATAATATTTTATTAATTAATCTTGATATCATAAAAAGATATGTTAACCTAAAAGAGAAAATAGTTATTATATAATGATAACTATTATAAAAACAATACTCAATAAACAATTGCTATAATAATATTTATTACTAATTAGTGAAAAAAAAATGTTCAAGCAATTTTGTATTTATATTTTTTTATAATTATTTTTAAAATATTTTTTAGAAGCTATACTTTTTTTCATAGATATATTAAATTTATTTAAAATATAGATAATTTTATGACTTATGTAATGATATAAAAATTAATTATATAAAAAACAAAATAAAAATAGTATTAATTTATAAATAAATAAATTATATATTTATGTATAGAAATATAGAAAATTCAGTTGCAATCTAACATTTTTTTTATTAGAAGCCCAAATAAACATTGAAGTTATTTTAAATTATTTTTTCTTTTTATTTTTTAAATATATTATATTTTTTTATTGTATCGTATTATTTATTTTCTCTCTGATATTTCTTAAATATATAAAGTATAATAAATATTATTTCCTAAATTATTTTTCTTCTTTCATAAATCATAATATATTAAAATACTTTATTTTCTCTCTAATTATATAAAAAAAACATTATAAAAAATCTTATTTATATATAATATAAATATAGATTATTTTAATAAAATGAAAAAGATTTTATATTCATATTTTTATAATTATTTAAAAAAAATATTTTATTTTCTCTTATTACTTTTTAAATATCCCAACTTTTTCTGCTGTATGCTAATTATATTCATTATATTTTTATTTTATCTTTTGTATTTATGTTAATTTTTAAAAGTATAAATTATACAGTTTTAAAATTTTTTAATTGTATTTTATTTTATCTCTTTATTTTTAAATATTCGAACTTTTCTGCTGGATGCTAATTACACATATCATATTTTTATTTTCTCTTTCTTATTTCTATTATTTGCTAAATATAAAAATTATATAAAATTTTTATTATATTATAAATGATAATATTTTTTATTTTTTGGTTTTCAATAAAAAAATAATTATAAAAGAAAAAAATATCTTTTGTATATAATATAAATATAAATTAGTACCTACGCATATATTTAAAATATCTGTATATTAATAATTTTTATTTTTATTTTTTATTTTTTTTTCATTCATTATACTGTATTAATTTTTTTTACTATTTTTAAATATATAAATTATTTTTCTTATTTTATAAAATGTAATATTTTATACGATGTTTTATTTATTTTTGGGTAACACCAAAAATATTAATAAAGAAAGAATAATCGAGTTATATATATATATATATATATATATATATAAATTTTTTTAACATTTAAAAACATAATACGAGAAAAGGATGAAAATAGCACGTGGCGGTGTATATCAGTGAGTTTGTGATGACGTTGTAAAGCCGGACACAAGTAAATATTCGGACGTTGTAAAGCGGTCCCATCATGGACACGTGTATGGTAAATAGGAACATAGTTCACTTATCCTACGCACCATCACCAAATTTAACACCGCGCCATGTGCATTTCTGCAACGAATATCAGAGGAAAGCCAGCGGGCTTTTCAAGAGAGCATGCAATGTCACGATAAAATGTTTTTTATTTTTATTTTTTTTATTTCCCTTCTCCAAATATTAGATAACTTTTTTAAAAACTAAATGCAGAACTCATCACCACCTTAATTTCAAACTTTCATTAAAAAAAAAAACAGGTTCAGTCTTAAAAAAAAGTAACTTTGATTATTAATATATCATTACAAATTCTTAAATTATTTTTTTTATAAAAAACTGAGATTGTTTATTCATCATGTTAAAAGTACATATTACATATATACATATAACTATTTTTATGTAGGTCTCTCATATGGTTTATATTTATGTTTTTTCTCTATTTTCTATTTGAAAACGGTTTAATTATTTATTTAAAAAATAAAAAAGATTTGTATAGATAAAAATTATTTTATATATAAATTAGAAAAATACTTAAGAAAAATTATTTAAACTTACTTTTAAACAAATTTCAAATTATTTTAATGTATGTCTTAGAAACTTTTATAGAAATACTTCTCTAAATAATATTTTAATATTTAAAATATGTAAGTATGCTTAACGCTTTAGAAAAAGCTAGAAGGCTTATTGTGGTTCTAATTTTATGAATACTTTTCTATTCCATACTTTGAAATATAAAAAATATTATTGTAATTTAAATAATGCATAGTATAAAATTGTAAAATTTAATATTCAAAATACTTTACAAATAAATTAATAATTTTAAATGTAGTATTTAAAGTATATATGAATCAATGAGCTTTTTTTTCAAAATTATTAATTACGGGTTAGAAGATGTATTGTTATTATAAGTTTACAAATAATTTTAAAACAGTTATTATTTATATTTATAATTTCAAAATTATATAATTTAATAATCATTGTTAAAACATACTAATAACTAATTTTAAATATATTATTTTATATTAATATAATAAATAATTTAATTTAATTTAAATATTTTTTTTAATATAAGTTTTGAATATTATTATAATATAAGATGGTAAATTGTAATGTAAAATTAAAAAAAAATGATTATTGTTAAGTGGGAAAAGTGAAGCATATAATAGGTAGGTTACGAAACTCTAGAAAGCTGCAGCTCCCGTGAGACACGATTATTCGGATCCAATCATCTGCACTTCTTTTCAGGTACCTTCTTTTTAATCGTCTTTTTTGTTGTACCATTGGATTTGGTGAAGGATCTTATTAATCCATGTAGGTCAAGGAACCAGAGAATGTTTTACATTTTCATTTTTAACCAATTTTTTTACTATTAATAATTACTATTATACAAGAAACTAAACTATATATATATATATATATATATATATATATATATATATATTATTCACCTTCTAAGATAATATATTTTTTAAACAATAATAATAATGTAAGTTACTATGATAAGATAAAAAAATCACAATTTTTTTATTAAAATATAAAACATCATTGCATATTTATTAAACCTTCCTATGAAATATTCACTATATTTATTTAAAGCATTTATATGAAATATTAATAGGTAAAAAAAAAACAAAATAATTAATATATATTATTCATTTTATTTTGTCAGACACTCTTTTCTATGAAACAAACATATAGGAAAATGTCGAAAGCGACAAATTGAAATGATATTAAGAGGAATAAAAAATAAAAGGGTGTAAATCCCCAGGTATTTGTATGTATTTTCAAACTGTGAATAAATGAATAATACACAAGAATGAAGTTTGAAGATAGTAAACTAACTGTTTATATGATTATTTTTTGTCTTATATTTTTTATTTCATTAAATTTAAATTTATTTTTAATATTTTTTATCAATTTATCAAAATTTTAATAATATAAAAATATAAATATTTCTTATTTAATTATTTTTAAATAGATTTCGTTTTTTAATGGATTATGTTTGGAAAGATATTAATTCTTATACAAGTATGGTAATAACACACTATTAAACATTATAATCATATTGAGAAATGTGTAAGATAATGAAATTTAAAAATGAAGTTCTACTAGGTGTGATGTGCATTTGTATTTAAGATTGAGTTTTTAAAATTTATCTTATTATATAAGAATATGTGTCAGAAATATAAATATCTGATTTAAAAATTCAATGTCTAAAAGTCTTCAAATATTTGGTGTTATTAAATTATAGGATTATATTAACATTATTTGTATATAAACAATGGTATAAATGAAAGATAAGTATTTGCATTTATATAATAATGATGTATATAAATTATTTACTTATGATCTAATTAAATATTAGCTTATCTTCTTTGTGTATTATTTATAATTGAGATGATAATATTTTTTTTATGGAACAGATTATAGATATGATAGAATTTAATGGATTAAGTGGAGAAAGAAGGCCAGAATATTTGTTTTTTTTTTTTTGTTCATTTTAAAGATTTCTCCATATATTTTAAGGTATTTTTGTTTTAAAGATTAAATGAATGATACATATTGTGTAAATATAAAGAGTAAGTAACTAATGTAGCAGGAGGTTTGGGTCACAAAGAGAAGTGGGAACAAAAAAATAAGACTGTTAGTTAGAAACTTATATTTGACTAATAAAGTAAGTATAAAAATAAACTAGGATATTCATTTCCTAGTTTTTAACACAATTTTGATGCTATTAAGGAATAAGAATGTGAATTGGCCCTGGTACTTTTAACACATAAAAAATAATAAGTGAAAAAAAAAATAGTAAACAGTGAACAAAATAAACTTTTTATTCATGTTATTGTATACTTGAATTGAAATTTTTTTACAGCATGGTTTTCTTCCACATTGAATAAATAATTATTCATGTTACCTCCGACCCCACGCCATGCAGCAGCCATTCTCCCTTCTCTCTTACTCAACATTTTCTAACTTCACCACCCAACCCAACCATTTTTACTACTTCATCCGAATGCCCCATCTTCAACCACACAACCCAAACAAAATTTTGCATTCTCTCTTGTTTTTCTCTTTTCCTCAGCTCCACCACTGCAACGTTGGAGCTTGTTCATCGGAAAAGAAATTGCAGGCCTCGTCGGCGCTGAAGAAATTGTGCTCCTCCATCTTCACCACGTACTGCGCCTGATACGCTTTCTGGAACTGCAAACAGTTCATTGAGATTGATTCCCGAGACAGCAAGAGATGCTCAGTTATTGGGCTGCAGTTGTTCTCTTCGTTCAAGATCGCGCTCGAATCGCTGTCGGAAGAACCGTCTTTGAAGTCCACTGGGAAGAGCGAAGCGCCTCCGACACAATCCTTGATGTTGTTGTTCAAACACTCGTAGTTCAACTGATCCTCGGATTCCGAACTGGGCTCGCTCTTACTATGTTCCATCGTTGTTTTGTCTTCCGAGTCTGGCATCGTTATCTCCTTCTTCACGGAAACCCCGTTTCCTGTGTTGTCTTCTTCCAACCTCGATTTTAGTTCCTTTATCTGCAAACACCATTCAATTCCGAAACAAACATAGTAAATTTATAGAACAATCGATCAGAACTTTTGTTACTAAATCTTGACTAAATGGGTCAACCTTGTTAATGAGTGAAGCTTTTAAATTTGACTGCTTTTATTCTCAAAAGCAAAGATAGTAAAAGTAAAATTTAACATGCACTTTGGTTTTCTCACTCAAAATTCACCTAGAGTTGTCTTAGTTAGATCCAAAATCCAGTATTATTGTATGGTACCTGCTTTCGTAAAGCCTCGTTGTCATGATTAAGGGTGTCATAGTTAAGCTTGAGAGCATCAAAATTGGCTTTGAGGACACCGTAATCTCTCTCCAATTGTTTGGTTTTCCATCTTGCTCGACGGTTTTGGAACCAAACGGCCACTTGTCTAGGTTGCAACCCAAGTTCTTGGGCAAGCTTGACCTTCCTCTCAGGTTCAAGCTTGTTTTCGACCTCGAAGTTCTTCTCCAAAGCCTTCACTTGATCTACACTCAGTCGACGTTTCTTCTCAGATTGATTCCCTACTTCTTCAAGACACCCTTCCTCGTCAAGTCCCTCAAGCATCATCGATTGGAACTCCCTACCATACACGTGCTGCTGGCTGTTCCTCGGACTATGTTCCTCTAAATGATACCAAATCACACATAAATATAATCATCAGTACATCCAGACATAACCGACATACATAATAAAAACACGGATCTTGGATCTGTGTCTGAATTTAAAAGCAAGTGTAGTGAATTAATCAGCACCTGTTGATGGGCAAATTGTGATGAGGGGAGTGGAAGAAGAATCTGAGCTGCTAAGTCTCTTCATGAGTGTAGGAAAGAAAGAAAGATGGGATCTTATTAGAAGAAGAAAGTGTTTTGATCCACTTGATTATTGTTGGTCAATGTCTTTAAGATCTCAAAAGAAAGCTGAGAAGACAGGGTTTAATTTTCACTCAAAAGGAACCATGGGAAAAGAACTATTGTGTATTAAACAACACCAATATTTACAATCTTGTAAGCAGCTATACAAGTACCACTTATCTCCATCACCACCCCCTTTTCCTTGCTCTCTCACCACTTCCACTCCCTCTTTACCCATCAAATATTTCAACACGCAAAACTAAATCACACAAAAACAAGTCAAATTTACCTCAAAATATAAGAAAAAAGGCACACGAATGCTAAAGTTTTTCCTCTCAGAAAGTGAGAGAGTGAAGAAGGTTGGTTCATCAAGGATGAGCAAACAAACTAGAGAGTGAGGAGGAAGGATGAAGGGTTACAGAAGGGTGAAGTAGTTTTACAACCCGGTGGAGTTTCTGAATTGCACTCGCTTTATATAAACTCAACCGGGGTTAGAATCTGACTGGGGTTAGGTGGATTGCTACTGGGGTTAGTTTTCAAATGAAAATGAACCCAAATTCAATCCAAATGCAACTTTTTTATCACCTGTTGCAGCCGGTTGCGCTTCCGGTATTTTTCGACCGTTTAGTGACGGTGATATTTCCTCAATTCCTTAGCAACTACTGTTAATTGATTAATAGTTAATTAGTTGTATTTAATAATAATATTTTTACATTCGTAAATGGCTCGGCTTCTAACGGCTTGGCTCCACGAGTTTTTGCTAACTCAAGATTTCGGTTTTGTCACGAAATTTTTTAAATTATTCTGATATAATTATTAAAAATTATCATAAAATATTTTATATTTAACTAAAAAACATATATCACTAATCTCTGTGATTGAAAAATAATTCTAGCCTCTTCAGGTGTTGTGTTATAAACAAATCTAATTCAATTAGTTAAAGTATATGTCAACTTATATAAACTTTTTCATATTCAATATCTACTACTCTTATGAACAAAAGAAGAATATGGTGTGTTATAGTAATTGATACTAATGATAATTTTAGCTATAAAAGTATACAAATCACTGTTGATTCAAATACACATGCTCACTGTAAAAATAAGTAAATAAATAATAATATTTTCATATAAACAATCATTTTTACCCAATTAGCAGAAGATGCATTTCACAGATTATAAAAATATAGAGTAAAGGAATAAATCATTAATATCTAGTAAAAAAAAAGAAAAAAATTGATATATAGAAGAGGAAGAAAAGTAAATAACAAATAATTTATTCAGACAAAAAAGAAATTAGATGGAATAATACATAACATGAAAATATATTTTTATATTAATTAAAAAATAAAATAAACTAAAAAATATTGTGATTTTCAAATGCATTTCAAAACTTCAAAAAATTATGCCAAAGAGATTTACAAAGAATTTTAACATGACATATTTAAAAAAATATATATTATGTATATATAATGGAAACAATCAATATTAACAAAAATTATTAGAATAATATTAACAAAATGTACAAAATTGTAAAAAGAAAAACATAAAGAAGAACAAATAATTATTTTAAAAAAATATGAACATGTTTATTTTCTTTTATAATTATTTGTAAAAAGATAATTAATGATAAAAAAATTTGAGCAACTAAAGTTTTAGAAGTTAAAAAAAATGATATTTTTAGATTTTGTATTGGTACTAGGAAATTTAAATTGTTTGTACAAAATTATTTATTATTTATATATATTTTGATATTTGTTTCAAGGTTTAGTTACATTTTATTTGATATCCAAAAACTTTATTTCACAAGTTGAAAATGTCCTTAAAATAAATAAAATTTTAGAAAAATATATTTTATAATATTAAATAAGGTTGTTTATATTTTATATTAGATATAAACATAACATACGTAAAAAATTACATATTTTATATTTATCTATAATTTATGATAAAATAAAACTTAATGATTGTTTTTCCTATCTATTATAAAATCTCTACCAATAAAAATAGAATCATTATTGTAATGGTAGTATGTGAACATAATAAACCAATTAGAAAGTATATTTTTCATCAGCAACAACTAAAAGAAAGGTTCACAAAACTTTAAGTGTTATGTCTTCAATAAAACTCTTGTGACCTGACATTTAATTTTTTCACTGAAAACATGTCATTTATGTCTAATGAGAAAAAACCAACATTCTAGCAAGCAATTTTTGTCTTCAACAATAACAACATCAAGTTAGCCAGATTTGTAGTTGTTATTATTACTACTAAAACAATAATTCACCCAATAAATATAATAAATTTATGAATAATAAAATGGTTGAAATTCCTTGCTCATTTAAAAAAATTAAAAATACTGAATATTTATAATTTATATGTGATTTTTCAACGTATCATAATTTTTTTTATCATAGGAAGATTTTTTTTCATTCCACCGTATGAAAATTGATTTTTTTTTCAAATATCTCATATTCTAATATTGTTAGAGTTAATTTTAATACTATTTTAAAAATAATAAGATATTTAATTTAATTCTATATAACTGATTTAGTAAAGTGAGAATTATATATATATATATATATATATATATATATATATATATATATATATATATAAAGGAAAATAATTTTATTTTGACCAATAATTATACTAATTTGTCTGATAATAAGTCCAACGTAAAAATATCATATACCAAATGTATGTTTTGAAAGGTTTATATGTGTAGAGTTGTGGTAAAAAAATAGGATTAAATAGAGGTTTTAGAAAAAGAAAAGATGTGACTATTAGTTTTAAGGATTTGTCAATTTCACTATGTAGTTTTTTTTTATAACTTTTAAAATAAATGACACTATTTTTGTATTACATAAAAAAAAAGTAATGTGTTGATTAAAAGAGAGGATTAATTTTAATATAGATATGCATAACTAAAATGTTTTAATCAAGTTTGAATGAATAATTTTTTTAAGCTGCATTTAATTAGTTGTTGTTATTGTACTTAAAAGCACATGTTCTTGGAACTGGTTCTTAATATTATCTGTTTAACAACCTTCAAAGAAAATATATTATACCACAATTTTATTTTATTTTTTTGGAAATTATAACTCTAGCATCACAATGACTCAAGAATACGATGAATCACGACAACATCAATGGCATCAACAATAGATTTCAAAGAATATGGACGATGATGTTTAGCTTGCCAAATCATTGTCTTGGTTTTTTCTCAAGAAATAATATTGTATTTTTTTTATTGTGACGCAAATTGTACTTTTTTTTTTTCAAGTTGACATTAAAAGAGAAAAAAAAATTATTCCCTTAAAGTACCACCTAATTAAATACAAATTCTCGTTGACTAGTACTGATTTGACTTGTAATAAAATGCAATAATAATATTTATTTGAAATAACAAAATTAAAAAGAAAAAATATTTCTGATTACAGAAAACTATATTAGGTTCTCTTTAAGTGGAAACATGACAGAAAAACACAAGAAGTAAATGTTGTGAGAAGAAGAAAGAAGATGAATTAGAAAATTTTGTAATTTTCAAAGACATAATTGTGAGGTGAATTGTACTAATGTTGAATGTGTTCGATTCCAACGTCTCTTCGCTTATCCCACTCATTTCAAACTCCTTTTAAAGCAGTTCCCCACCAGTGACAGGCAAGCATGAATGGGAGGAGAGAAAGTTGGTTTCAGCATAAAAGTGTGCCCATCAATGCCTTAGACAAAAATCAAAATGTCACACAACACAACTTTTATCACAAACTAGGACCCCACTTTTCTTAATTCCCACCAACACGCGGGACGTGGCCTCATCAAAACCCTCTCTTCTCTTCAATTTGATTCCTGCATAAAAAAAAATGCAGTTCAGAGAAGAAAAGAAGACGAGAATGACTCCATTAAAGACAATGAGTTTCATTCTCAGAAAACATTAATCATCACTAAATTTAGTAAATATTTGTAATCCTGAAAATCAATTTTACAACCATAGTTCAACCGGACAAAGTGTGGACCTACATGCATCATCCATTCTGTATCACTCACGATAAAAAAAGCATTTTATATTATTAAATTAATCTGAAGCCTATCCTGGAAGTGATAGTAAGAGATAGTGGAATATAATCTGTAAACGAGCCTTTGAACAATTCTGCAACTCTGCATGGTGAATGGGCATGGGGCACATTCATTGGTGTCGCTGACTTTAACAAAAAGTCTCTGAATAATACTGTTGATTTTTCCTTACACTAATTATTTCTGAATGGATATCCGAAGAATCTATCTTCTAAAGCAAGTTAACTTCTTTTGATATTTGGATATTAATCATTCCACACAAAAGCTGATAAAAAAGAATCTCAAACTTCAAATAATTATGGGATAAAGATGCGGATGGGTCTGCTTCAACAAGCTAATGATTGAATCCATGACTAACACAACGAAATCACAACAAAAAAAGTGAGATGCACCAAACTGAATCGATCCCCAGTAAGGACAATTTGAACTGGAGATATGCAGCAAAGGCTCGGAGGATGCAAAGGTAGGACAAGCGATCTAGACTTCCAGCACGTTTTCTGTAACGAGTTCAGCCATAAATGTTCCTTTTGACTTATAATTCTTGATCAAAACAGGAATAAAAAAGATGTTAGGTTTTAATGCTCGAAAAAGTATTAGGTTTTAACTCTCGTATTATAATAAGGTTTCAAAATAGAACTGAGTAAAGACAAATTATATGAACTTCAAGACAAAACTAATGGGAAGAAGAAATGTTAACCAGAGTAGACTCTAAAGGTGTACGTGCTCATCTAAATGTCCAAAATAGCGTCTAAATTAATAATTTATTTATCTTACATGCAAATATTTAATAAATGTCTAGTTTATTATTTGAGAAAAGACTCTTTTCTAAGTCTACAACATTGTCAATTTTCATCTTTGCCAAACCCAAACATTTATTCATCACGTCCCTAACGAAATTTGAAGCCAAATGATCAAGTCTTAATTTTCTTGCATATGACAAGCAGTTAAAGAAGACCCCGCAACCTCGCTAAAAAGTGTTATCTTCAATAATTTATTTATAATTGATTATGAATAAGTAAGTAGTAGGTTAGTTTAATCCAATTTAGAAGATAGTTTAAATCTTATTTTATAAATCAAGGATTAAATTAAAAATATTTTCGCTTTTTCATATATAATGCAATAGTTTATTAAAAGTATTAAATAGAAAAAAAAAGTTTTTGTTTTTGGTGAATCAAACAAGTATATAGAACAAAGAAAAAATAGAGACAGAAACAAATGTGAAAGCAAGACATATAAAAATTATGTGGTATGGATTCAAACTTTATCTGACAGCGCACAACCTTAGTTGTGGGGTTTTTTTTTTCTCTATCTTTTTCTAATGTCTCCAAACACACATTCTATAAAGTTTATGGGGAGGGGGAACAGAATCTTGACTAACATTTCATTTTTCACCAATTTTTCTAAAAAATACACACCCATTTTCACCCCCAAATTATGAGTTTTTTCAAAGTCCTTCTTGCTTAGTATGAATACAATAGAAAAGTCAATGTCCGAAACCTATCATAAAATATTGATTCAACAATTATTGAATTGTGAAAAAGACTTGTAAATGTATCAAAAATGAAATTGAAAATATATGTGTTCTTGGCAAATTAAAAGTTGAAAATATTTTATATTAATTTTAAAAAATCCTTTAAAAATTTAGTTTTAGAATATATTTGTCCTAAATATAGTTAAAACCATTAACTTGAACATGAGATTTTTTTATCTTCGTTATCAGTTAAGAAGGAGTTAAATTCTGACAATTTTTTATTTAAGAATTTTGTCATGATTTAAAACCTGTAACATGTAAGGAAATTTTTTTTGTTATACATTTATTTAGCTTTGGATAATAGTCTTGAAAACATTGTTAACAGAACAGTTCAGTGAAATAATATCCTTATAATTGAGACATTATATTTAGATTAATTGTATTTGTTTGTTTTAATTATTTAATAAATCAAGTTAAAAGTAATTATATTTTAACGTATTTTATCCAAATTCAAATTGGTTCAGTCCGGGTTTTACAAGTTAAAGAGGAATTAGATTCTGACCCATTTTACATCTATGGGCAAATAGTTATTTAAAAAAAAATATTAAAAAACTTGTTGAAAAATATATGGTTTGAGATTCAGAATTTATTTGAGAAAAAAATAAAATACATGTTTATCACATAATTATTTTATGAAATTAATTATAAAACTTGTTAAAATAAATAAAAATAATGTTTAAATTTATAATATTAAAAAAAATGAAAAAAAAAATCATGAAAATACATTTGTTTTTCTTTAATAAGTTCTTATAATATTTATTCGAATGTCAATTTAACCACTATTGGGGTCACGTGTTTCTAGATTGATGACTTAGCTCAACCAGTATATGGGTCTAGGGTAAAACACTATTGGGCTACATGTTGACGGGTTTTATTTTATGAAATTGGGCTAAATATTTGGGTATAGCTCTGGTTTTTGCACTTTCATAATTTCTCTCTGCACCTTCATACTCAAGTCAAATACTTAAAATATAATTTTCATAATTTTATTTTTATCCTAAATTTTTCTTCTATTTTTGTACAACTTCTGCCTCTCCATCCTTCAGCACCTTCATCCCTTTATTATTTCATTTTTTTTTTGTTATCACCTCCATTAAAAATATTTTCTAATAATTAAAAATAAATAATTATTAATATTATATAAATGAAAATGAGATTGAATTCTGGAACACTTAATTGAGATGGATTTTTTTAAAATACTCAATCCAGAATGCATTTTTAAATAGGCTTTTCTAAAAAGGTTTTTTGGAATGGGTATTTCAGAATTGTTTCCAGAAATAGATTCCGAATTGTGTATTCCGAAAAGGCCAGTCTAAAATACATTTCAAAGATGAGGAGGAAGATAAGTGTAAGGGTAAAGTGTGATTTAATTATTTTCGTACAAGGAGAAATTATGGGACGCAGAAGAAAGAGCCTTGGGTCTTGGGTAAAAAACTATTGGGCTACATGTTGATGGGTTTGGGCCTAAACAGTCTTATATGAAATTGTTTTTTAATTGAAATTATATTGTAATAATAATGAAATATTGCGCTTTTTTTCACTTAATTATCATTATTTTATCAATTTCATCACTAAATTGTTGTCCCTCATCATATTAATGCACTTTTTAATTTTGATGAATTTTATTAGTGTTTAAAATTTTACTAGAATGATAAAAAAAATGTTATCAACTTGCTTTTGGGTTGGGCCAATATTTTTTTTAACTGCAATTTTTTCCTTTGTTCAGCCCAGTTATTGTCGTCGGGCTGCGAACTAAGTGAGTCACGCACTTTTTAAATATAAAAAGAAATAAATTTATTTAAAAATAAATTTTTAAATAACAAGTTAATAAAATATTCTTAAATTATTTTAATCCATAAATAAATATTACAAGTTATCTATTACAAGAGTAAAATAAAAAATATTCAATAATAATGTATATTTACATATTGAAAACCTTATATCACCTCCTACATCTTAATGCAAATTTTAACTAAATATATTACATAGTATTACTGTTATATATATATATATATATAATTTTATTCCTCTGACAATCAATCTCCAATCAATATTTCTTTTTCTTTTTCAAATGTACCAAATATCTAAATTAAAAAATTAATGTATAAAAAAAGATAATATATTCTACACCAATAACATGTTAAATATCAAATATATTAACTGTTAGTTTACTAAAATATAAGTTTTTTTTATTATTATGACAAGATGATACAACTTCTTACATTCCTATTTCCTTGTATTATATATCACGAATCTATGTTAATTAAATATTGGAGTGTAATTTACATGTATCTCGTTTTTTATAGTGCAGATAACTAAGAATATAATTACGAAAATAGATAATAAAAAGAAAAGATCAAAGCATTTTTTTTAAGGGTATTTTGAAAAATAATAAAAAATTATCATTCGTAAAAATTGGAAATAGTGAGGATCACGAGAACATACCTCTAAATTTTATCGAAAATTAAATAAATTGAGAAAGGTAGAGAACATACGAAACTTCACCCTTTGCCTTTGGTATCATCAATGTGTGGTTGATCCTTTAATAATATTTATAATTAAAAAAACTGTATATTATATAAAAGACTAACTAGAAACATTAAATTTACCTTTTGTATCATCTTGTAAATTCAAAAACACTAATAAATGAAGTATAAAAAATATTCTCCAATAAATAAAATATTATGTAATTATAAAAAACAGTGACAATATTTTCTTATAAAAGTTTATTTAATTTTATGTTTTTAATTTTTTTTATAAATGTTTTTGACTAGATTATCAAGCAAAATCCGACTTTATTGAAGAAGAAGATGGTATTGTTTAACATAATCAAAATTATTTGACACGAATTTAACAATAGTAATATTTTTTTCTACCAAAATTTCAATTATAATAATAAACACAAACATTATTAAAGGTAAAAAAAATGCAATGATAGAAACATTATTATAATAATAGTAATATTTTTTTCTACCAGATATAATTTTTTAAAAACTTGATTTTAGATAATAACTGAATTAGTGCTCTAATTTTTTAAAACATATAGAAAGTTAAAAAAAATATTAAGAGCTAATTTATTGATTAAAAAGAAATTTTGTTCAAAATATTAAGATTAAAGACAAATTTCTTTCCCCACAAATACATATAGTTAAATTTTAATAAAATTACAAAATATACGTACGGGAAATTAGGTAAAATAATAATGCAGGTTATTTGCGCTATTATTATGTTGTATTTTTTTTCCTTAAACTTCGTAAAATTTATAAACTGTAATCATACCATTTTAAGTGTTTTGACATTGACTAATGATACAACACGTAAATGATTCATTTGTGACATCACATACAAGATAGAATAATCATGTGTATATACTATTAAGTCGTCATAACAAAAATAAAAATAATAACAAAATATACAATTTCTCACAAATTAAATTTTATATATATATATATAAAAAAACAAACTCGTTGCTGTATTTGATTCAACACAAATTATTTTAGAACAAAAATAAATTGCACGCATTTAAGTTGTGGTTTTTGTCTAACTCTCTTGCACAATTTCATTATAGTTCACTGATTACAACATTTTTTTATGGTTTAAACAAGTTAGTTTATAGAAGATTAGTGACACATAATTACAAATGAGTTTGTTTGATGAGAAAAAAAAAATTCATACATGTAAACCTTTCCACAGCAATTTTGAAACAAATCACCTAAACAATATTCAAATTTTAAACACAATTACCTAATCAATGTTTGCAATTCAATTTTTTTTCTCGACAACAACGGTGAAAGTAAAAAATAAGATCTTCAAACTCTAATTTTAGAAGGGTGAAAGTAAATATATACCAAAAAAATCTTCAAACTCTAATTTAAGAAGGGTGATATTTTTAATTAAATAAAAGCAGACATTATCATGAAATGTGGTTAAGAAACCCTAAATTAATAATGTTGAATAACTTTTCAGAATAATTGTTTGAGATAAAACATGAGGAAAAGGAAAGTATAAAAGGAGGCAAGAGAGAAGAATGGGAACAAGAAGCCGAAGTGAAAGAGAGGGAGTGCAAGTGACTGAGAGACAGCACGAAGAGTCTTTTGACAAGACAAACAACCAAACACGCTGTTTGCGACTGGAAAAACCACCATTTTTTTTTGTTACATTTCCTTCAAACTGTTTAGGGTTTCATCTTTCAATTTCATATCGATTGCTTCCCCATGAAGAAAACGTCGCATCCTAAACCCATCCACACTCCCTACGCCGCTAATCGCGGCCATGATATTCACGCTCACCCATCACCACACGGCTTTTCCGGTCCGCGTCCCATCTTCCACCGGCCATTCCACCAATGGAGGCCTCTCGTTCACCCCCACGCCGCCCGCCTCCACCGTCCTCCGGAGACTTATTTCAAGGTTGAACTCCGACTCGGCCTCCGCCCCCTTTGCCGCGAAGAGGTCGAGGCCCTGATAGAAGAATGCGAGCACAAGGCAAAGACCTTCACTTTCTACCCCACCGACGACGTCGCGGCCGTGCTCAGTTATCAAAACTGGGAGCAGGCGCGAGACGCGGCGGCTTGGTTCTGGGAGTCGCTGCTGTTGGAGAAACACGATTACACGCCGGCGTTGGACTCCAACGTTGTCGTGATGGGCGATCTGGATGGTCGCCTTCGCCTGTTGTTCGCGAGGCACGTGAAGAAGTTGATGAAGGGGAAGGAGGTGAAGCGGTGGGTGGAGGAGAGTGATCGGTTGTCGAAGGAGATTGCCAGGATTTCAACTTTGCTGAGTAAGCCCTTGCACATTAACTCGGTTAACCGCTTTCGGGAGAAGAAAGAAGGGCTTGTTACTGAGATGAACCTGGTTGAAAGGAGGTTGAAGGAGTTCGAGTCTGCCATGGAGTGTATATTGAAGTATCTGGAGGAGAAGGCTGTTGACGTGGATAGTGAAGAGTGTGTGTCTGTGTTTAAGTTTGATGGAGGTTTTGATTGGAAGAGGATTCACTGTCTGATCAAAAGGGAGTGTCGGCGTCTGGAGGATGGGTTGCCCATTTATGCTTACCGGAGGGATATTCTTCTGAATGTACTTTATCAGCAGGTATATCTTTCTATGGCGATTTCAATTATTTTTTACACCGTCATCATTGGGAAAGGATAATTGTTTTATAATTTGTAAATTTATTTTTCTCTTTTTTCTTGTTGGAAGGGACCAATTATTAGGATGATGTTCCTTCTCCTGTCTAACAGCTTAAATTAATGCAGTTGGTTCTAAACAATGTCTTAAATTTCGGGTGTAAATCGAGAGATATTGTCTACAATTTCGCAGGAAATTATGGTCAATGAGGCTGAATTGTGTTCGCATAAATACTATAAGTCTTGGCATAGCCATTTAAACAGTGGTCACCAAATGTTCTTTAAAAGCTTAGTTTTAGCTGAAATCTAATGACATGGTATTAGGTCCTATACCCTGTTAATGTTGCCTGTCTAACAACTTAATTTAATGTCAATTAATTTTAAACTGGCTTAAATCAGTTGTAGATGGAGATAAATTGTAGAAAAATGCTTCTGCATTTGTGGTGTATTGATCCCACAGACATTGACATTGCATAGAAACTGTGGTCAAATGTGTTTGCAATTGTGGTCACAAACTGTTTTCTGAAGGTATTAGATGAAATCTAAATGATACAGTACCAGGTCCTCAACCCTTTTTATTTTGCTTCTGTGTTTATACAGGAGGGGATTTTTTGTGTTCAAAAGTTCATGTTGCCTACCTCAATCGTTGGGTTATGGTTTATATACTCATTGGGCTAAACCAGTTAATGCCAGTTGGTTTTAGGATTAAATCTATCACTCCCCTCCCCTCCTGCACTTCTGTATTTATGACTTTCATTGCCTGTGGATGTTATCTATTGCGATTCTGTTTAGAATTTAGATAACTTTTTTTTTGGATGTTTTTCTGATTAGTATGTATATACAGATAATGGTATTAATAGGAGAGACTGGTTCCGGGAAGAGTACACAATTGGTACAGTTTCTTGCTGATTCTGGCATTGGTGCTGATGAATCCATTGTATGCACCCAACCTCGCAAGATTGCTGCCAAATCAGTGTCTCAAAGGGTCCAGGAAGAAAGCAGCGGATGTTACGAAGGGCAATCAATCAAATATTCTACATTTTCATCCTTGCACGAGTTTGATTCCAGGATAACATTCATGACAGATCACTGTTTGTTGCAGCACTACATGAGTGATAAGAATTTGTCGGGGGTATCATGCATCATAATTGATGAGGCTCATGAGAGGAGCCTAAATACAGATTTACTGATGACTTTGTTGAGAAGCTTACTTTATAGGAGGCGTGAAATGCGGCTTATCATTATGTCTGCTACAGCGGATGCAACACAGCTATCTGATTACTTTTATGGTTGTGGAATTTTTCATGTGTTTGGGAGAAACTTTCCAGTGGATATCAAGCATGTTCCTTCTGACTATGCTGGACATTCTGGTTCTGCTATTGCCTCATATGTTTCTGATGTTGTCAGAAAGGCAACTGAAATTCACAGAACAGAGAAAGAGGGAACTATTCTTGCCTTTTTGACCTCTCAGATAGAAGTAGAATATGCCTGTGAAAAGTTTATAGCTTCCTCTGCAGTCGCTCTTCCCTTGCATGGGAAACTTTCATCCGAAGAGCAATTTCGTGTTTTTCAGAACTACCCTGGAAAGAGAAAAGTGATATTTTCAACAAATCTTGCGGAGACATCACTTACAATTCCTGGTGTTAAGTATGTGGTTGATTCTGGTTTTGTTAAAGATTGCAGATTTGATCCTGCCAGTGGGATGAATGTACTTAAGGTTTGCTGGATTAGTCAGAGCTCTGCTAATCAACGGGCTGGTCGTGCTGGGAGGACCGAGCCTGGTGTGTGCTATAGACTGTACTCAGAAGCTGATTATCAATCTATGGACATAAATCAAGAGCCAGAGATTCGGAGAGTTCATCTTGGTGTAGCAGTTTTGAGGATCCTTGCTTTAGGAGTGAAGAATGTGCAGGATTTTGATTTTGTGGATGCTCCAAGTTCGAGCTCTATTGATATGGCAATCAGGAATCTAATTCAGTTAGGAGCCATTGAGCTGAAGAATAATGTTCATGATTTAACTAGTGAGGGTTGGTACCTGGTAAAAATGGGAATTGAACCCAGGCTTGGTAAACTTATTCTTGGCTGTTTAAAACATGGTTTGGGCAGGGAAGGAATTGTTCTTGCTGCTGTGATGGCCAATGCTAGTAGCATTTTTTGCAGAGTTGGCAGTGAACTCGATAAACAAAGATCTGATTGTCTGAAGGTGCAATTTTGCCATTGCGATGGTGACCTCTTTACTCTTCTCTCTGTGTACAAGGAATGGGAAAGTTTGCCTCGTGAAAGGAAGAACAAATGGTGTTGGGAAAACAGCATCAATGCCAAATCCATGAGGAGGTGCCTAGACACAATTTTGGAGTTAGAAAGTTGCTTTGAGCGAGAACACGACCTTATTACTCCCAGGGGCTGGCGTTGGGACCCTTATATACCCTCTAATCATGATAAGAATTTGAAAAGGGTTATCCTGTCCTCGCTTGCCGAGAATGTAGCCATGTACTCTGGCTGCAAACAACTTGGTTATGAAGTGGCACAAACTGGGCAATATGTTCAACTGCATCCATCTTGTTCATTGCTTGTATTTGCTCAGAAACCAAGTTGGGTGGTTTTTGGTGAGCTTCTTTCTGTCTCTAATCAATATTTGGTCTGTGTGACTGCATTTGACTTTCAATCACTATACAACCTTCACCCTGCTCCCTTGTTTGATGTATCCAAAATGGAAGAGCGGAAGTTGCAAATGAAGACATTGTGTGGTCTTGGCTCTATTCTTCTCAAGAGACTTTGTGGAAAAGCCAACTGTAATTTGTTTGCACTTGTTTCGCGTATAAGGAAAGCTTGTATGGACGAACGCATTTACATTGAAGTGAATGTTGACCAGAATGCAATCCACCTGTTTGCCACTTCAAATGATATGGATACAACCCTTGATTTGGTTAATGGTGCTCTAGAATATGAGAGAAAGTGGTTACGCACTGAATGTATGGATAAGTGTTTGTATCACGGGTCTGGTATTTCTCCACCTGTAGCATTGTTTGGGTCTGGTGCAGAGATAAAATATTTGGAACTTGAGAAACGTTCCTTGAGTATTGATGTATGTCATGCCAACATAAATGCAATGGATGACAAGGAGCTCTTAATGTTTTTAGAGAAGAATACCTCTGGTAGCATCTGTGCTGTGCACAAATTTGCAGGCAATATGAAGGATGAAGATAAGGAGAAGTGGGGCAGGATAACATTTATGTCCCCTGATGTTGCCAAAAGAGCTGCTGAACTAGATGGACGAGAATTTTGTGGCTCCTCCTTGAAAATTGTTCCTTCACAGTTGGGAGGGGATAAAACATTTTCGTTTCCTGCTGTTAAAGCAAAAATTTCTTGGCCTCGTAGGCTTAGTAAGGGATTTGGCATACTTAAATGTGATATAATGGATGTCAATCAAATCTTGAGAGATTTCTACAACCTTGCAATAGGGGGACGATATGTTCGATGTGATGTTGGCATAAAGAGTATGGACAGTGTTGTTATAAGTGGGCTTGACAAAGAGCTCTCGGAAGCTGAAATATTGAATGTGCTAAGAACTGCTACAAATAGAAGGATTTTGGATTTTTTCTTGGTGAGAGGGAATGCTGCTGAAAATCCACCATGCAGGGCTTTGGAAGAGGCGCTCCTTAAAGAAATTTACCCCTCTTTACCCAAAAGGAACCCTCACATTAGTTCTTGCCGAGCTCAGGTGTTTGTACCCGAGCCTAAGGATGCTTTTATGAGAGCTTTAATCAGTTTTGATGGACGATTGCATTTAGAGGCAGCAAAAGCTTTGGAGCAAATTGAAGGAATGGTGTTACCTGGATGTCTTTCATGGCAAAAGATAAAGTGCCAGCAGTTATTTCATAGCTCCTTGATATTTCCTACACCAGTGTTTCGTGTTATTAAGGAACAACTGGATGAAGTACTTGCAAGCTTCAGGAATTTGAAAGGTACTATGCCATTTTGTTTTTTCTCTTTTGTGGATTTTTGTTAGTTGTAATCAATAAAGCACCAATGCTTCAATTTGCTTCACGTACCGAGTCGGATATTTCACCGATATTTCCTTGATATGTGTCAATGAAGTATCCAAACGTATGAAGCATGACTATTTTTATTTGTTTCACAAATAAGACCTTTAAATAATTTCCCAACGTGTATGTTTTAAATTGTTTATATTCAATAAAAATTTATGAAACATATATGTATGTATCAAATATAAACATATAAATATTATTTTTCATAAACCAGAGAAAAAAATTGTTCTTATGAACGATTTTAAGAAATGGATGAGAATGATAATTTTATATTTATAGTTAAATAACATAACATGTTTTATAATGATAATTATTTATGTTTTTTATTTCCACAATATTTAAGAGATATGATTTAAAATTTGGATTTGCATGATTGTAGTTTTAGTTTTCTAGTTATTATGTTTCATAATTTTTTTTGACATTTTTTTTAATTACGTATCTTATACGTATCATATATCCTACTTTGTTAGAATAAATATATCATCATATTATGGAATCCATGCATCATAGGTTGTAATTCATTTTTTAAATGACAAACATTTTTACTCACAAATCTTGCTGTCCCAGAGTATTTATTTTTTGAAAGATATATGTCTGTCTAGTTTAACAATTGTTTTTTTAATTTCTTTAGTTGTGAGATTCATGTACCAAAATATAACAATTAAAATTGTTGTAGTCAGTTTAGTATCATACCATGTTTACTTACATAAACCCCCTCTTTCCAAAAATGGACTAAAGAGTAAGTTTGGGATGGAAAAATGGAAGGAAATATTGTTGAATTTTCATTGTTGCGTCTCTTTTCTTTTACATGTTTCTCAGTAGTTCATCCTTTTTTATACAAGGATTACATTATGATCCGACATCTCTGCTACATGATTGATCATCATTAAATTTGTCATCCCATACAGTAATATATGTTCCATCTTTAATGGTGTGGCTCTTTTCTGTTTAAATGCTGTTTAAAATATTAGCACTGACAATAGGTCCAATTAGTTCTGCAAGCCAAGAGAGAAAAAAATGTAATTTTGACAGAAACAAATGCAATAAACAACTGAACGGGTGAGAATAGGAGAGAGATTTCTCCTCCAAGGGGTTCCCCCTTCCCAAAGATTTTTTTTTTCCCTTCCACACAATTAAAATTACTGGATGAATCCCTCTAATTTGAATTCTCCTTTTATCATACCCTCTTAAGCCGTAAAATGGATTAACAGTTGTCATTATTTCTGTCCTAAACATTGATTGTTTTTACGAATGGGGGCCATCATGTTTGTTGGAAGCTATTAATATTGAGATAACTATAATTGCACAATTTCAAGTGTTTTCTTATTACAATATGACAGCTGACAATCATTGGTTTTCTTGATTAAATGAAGGTCTTGAATGCAACCTGGACAGGGCAGTTAATGGTTCCTACCGAGTTAAGATAACTGCTAACGCCACGAAGACTGTAGCAGAAGTAAGAAGACCTCTGGAAGAACTATTGAGAGGGAGAACCATTGAGCATGACAGCCTCACACCTGCAATTCTCCAGCTCATGTTGTCCAGGGATGGCTTTAATCTTAGAAGCTCATTGCAGCAAGAGACTGGAACTTACATTCTTTTTGACAGGCTCAACTTGAATATACGGGTGTTTGGTTCCCCAAACAAGGTTGCTTTGGCTCATGACAAGGTGGTTCAATCACTCCTTTCTCTCCATGAAGAAAAGCAGTTAGAAATCCATCTGAGAGGGAGGGACTTACCTTCTGATTTAATGAAGCAAATGATTAAGAATTTTGGGCCAGATCTGCATGGACTGAAAGCGAGGGTACCAGGGGTAGATCTTTCACTGAACATCCGTCGCCATATAATCAGTCTTCATGGTAGGATGGAGTTGAAACCCAGGGTAGAGGAAATAGTTTTTGAGATTGCTCGTTCAAGCAATCATTTGCTTGAGACATTTGATAATGCTGGACCTAATTGCCCGATTTGCTTGTGCGAGGTTGAGGATGGATACCGACTTGAAGGCTGTGGTCATTTGTTCTGCCGGTTGTGTCTGGTGGAACAATGTGAATCTGCTATTAAAAACCAAGGCACCTTCCCATTATGTTGTACTCACAAGGACTGTGGAGCACACATCCTGCTTGCTGATTTGAGATCTCTCTTATTTGGTGATAAGTTGGAGGATCTTTTCAGGGCTTCTATGGGAGCTTTTGTGGCTACGAGTGGGGGAACTTACAGGTTTTGCCCTTCTCCAGACTGCCCCTCAATTTATCGAGTTGCAGATCCTGGGACTGCTGGTGACCCATTTGTTTGTGGGGCTTGTTACTCAGAGACATGTACCAGGTGCCATTTAGAGTATCATCCATACCTTTCATGCGAGAGATATAAAGAATTAAAGGAAGATCCGGATTCATCTCTGCTAGAGTGGTGCAGAGGGAAAGACCAAGTAAGGAGCTGCTTGGCGTGTGGGTTTGTAATTGAGAAGGTAGATGGGTGCAACCATGTTGAGTGCAAGTGCGGAAAGCATGTGTGCTGGGTTTGCTTAGAGTTCTTCAGTGCTAGTGATGAATGTTACAGCCATTTAAGAACTGTACACATGGCCATCATATGATTGCCATTTGCGTACCATTTTTCTGAGATATGTAAATTTAGTGTAGCGGTACATAACACTGTATATGGAAGTAGCAGAATGTACAGTTTTCTTAAACTAATGTAATATATCGCACAGCAGTTCCGCTTCTTACTTGTATATCTAATGTAAGTTGTACCGTGTATTTTAGTAGTGACTATTCTGCTATGCATGCTTTGCATCATTTGTTTTCGAAGCAGTTCAATAAGGCTGTGAAAGTGGCTTTAACGTTATAAACAACTGTAACTGTATTAATCTATTAAATGAACGGAAAGAGAGAATTGATTACAAGTCGATTAGCACGAAATAATATAATTGTTTTGTGATAGAGTTACAGTTGTGTATGAACAAATATATAGCAAAATTTGTATATGCAAATCCCAATGGCAGCAGAGAGTCTGTTTACAAATAGTGTCTGCAAGCTAGTGCAGTGCTGACTCCAATTCCCAACGAAAGAACCAAAGCCAGAACCCATGCAACACTAGTAGATTCTTCTTCATGTCCAACTCCCTTGGATGATCCTACATCTCCCTCTGTTTGCTGATGCAGCCAATGGGATTGTTGCAAGTGCAAAACTTGAAGCTCAAGCAATCTCACCTGTTGGCGATATGCAAACAAATGCATGGCCTCCCCCAACAAAACCATAGAAAGACCATCCCTTTCTTTTTTCAGAAATGCAGCCTTCTTTTCTGCCTCCCTGGCACGCGTCTGAGATGCTTGTAGGGCCTTCAGAAGCTCCATTTTATTCCTTTCATCATCACCATTTTCCATCCTGTAAGCACGGGATTGCTTGCTATCTTCCTCTTCTCCTTTGCCTGTAATGTCATAGGTCCTATTCGTGGACAACATCACCCTCTTATCTGGACCCATGAAAAACTTGGAAGGTGGAGGAAGATCACAGTTCTGCACGAGGTCAAACCCCAAAGGCTTGAGAGAAACTGTAAAACCCATAATTTCGTTCCTTCTTCTCTGAGTTTGACTATTATTCTTTTGTTGCCCCCCCATGAAAAATCCAATCTTTATGCGATTATGAAGGTGGTGCTGTTGCTGGTTCAGGTAGTTTTATGGGTTAATTTCTTATTGGACTGAAGTCGAGAATATCAAGTAAGCAGGTTGAGGCGTGGAAGGAAAAGATGGTTGGTATGTGAAGTTGGTGGAGTGGGAGCATTGAATTCATGGGGGAAAGCGTGACAGAAAAGGCAGTAATTTCCGTGATTAAGAATTTGATTGCTGTGTAAGTTTGCCTCTCATTTGATGGCTCGGGAAATTCCTTGCTTGCGTGTTTCGTCCAAATTATATTAAATTACCACTTGCCACACCCAGAGAAGAAAAATTTGATTCCCATCTCTTTGCCACTATTGCACACCTTTAAATTCATAATAACCACCACACTTTGTGGCCTGATGATAGGTTAATAAATTTTAGATTTAAAATTCAAAACAAAATATGACAATTGACTTCGGAGGGACACGGAATTGTTTTGATTCTCGGATTATATATACTGCTAATATATAATTTTGCTGATCACGACACCATTCAAGTTACAATTTTGAGCAGGTCAGGCAGCTAGAAATGTTCTGCTTTTTCTTCTCTTACTAAAGCAAATTATTTAAAATTTCTTCTCATATGGTGATTCAATATTAAGAATTTAACATCAACTTAGAAAATTTTCCACGAAAATCCCCGAAAGAATGACAAAAGGCAAGAAAAAAATAAATGCAATGTAAGATTCAAATATGCATACCTCGTACTTTCATAGAAGCTGCCGCATACAATGACACATACTCATTTAGTAGCTCAACATATATTATTGCATCTTCTAAAGTCTAATCTAAATGGAACTGCTTAATTTTCCTGGACCATAGAGCGAATTCTAAAAAAATCTTGACCATTTATTTTAAACACAATCATGTAAATTCTAAACGCATAATTTCTCCAAAACTATAGCTTGAGTTTTTTAAAGAAATAGGGAGAGAAAAAAAAAAAAAACACTGCTGCTAATTTTGGGTTGAACGAGGACTTCTTATTTTTAACAACTGTTTGTGGGCCAGTTTCTGCACAATTTTTTGTCTTGTATATAAAATTTGTGACCTTTCTAATTATTATACATGTCAGAAAACTAAAATAATATTAAGTTGAAGTTAAAAAACACTGGTGGTTAAAACATTGAATGCACAATAAACATTAAACACTACATCATATTATGAATTTAATACATTGAAAAATAACATTAAAAACCAAATAGATAGGAATATTCAATCATTAAAACTTAAAACGAAACACAAGATTATATATTTTTTTCTTTATCAATTTATTTGATGTAAACAATCTATTTTGTACTAAATCCTTTTAACGAGTAGGTTATGCGTGTTATACTTTTAGACGTAGATTATTTTTAAGTTCATCCTTGTCCCAATTTGTTTGAGCTAATATTTTAGAAATGTGGTTTTTGAAAGTAGAAATTGCGCGAAAAATGAAGCGAACAAAACTTATCAAAATTTGGAGTGGTTTTAATTTGGTTGTTTAGTAAATTGCACTCTTATGAATTTTTAAAATATAACCAATGCAAGAGTTATTTTAGTTTCTTTGGATTTGTTTGTTTCTGACGTATAGAGAAAAGAAAAGAGGAAAAAAACCAAAAAAAAAAAAAAAACTTTGCTAGATTCACATAAAGATTATGTCAACATGAAAATCTGTTTTCGTTTTAATAGAATAGAATGAATCTCATAATTAATTCAATAAGAGATTTGTTATTGGTCCACTATTAACCTGAATAGAGACAAAATAGTAATGTTTGTGACGTAATTTGAATGCTTAAAACTTTTCCCTTAAGACAATCCCGATCAGTACTCATGAACACAGCATGAAGTTTGAACATAGTAGAGACATAATACACTGACAAAAACTTACCTTTCTTTAAGGTCCTACCACATAAGATAACACGGAAACGACCCAACAAAAGTCCATTGACTTGGATCAAAACAAGTCATTGAGAAAATTAAGGCGCGGTTTTACCAAGGAATGTGAAAATTGTCCCATCAAACTGATAAAAGGGTGGCCAAAAATTGACATGCAAAAAACTCTACATAAACTAAAGGGAGGACTTCCAATTTTCCATGGTTGTGTGTTTCTTTTCCTCTTGTTCACATGTTCTAAATTTTTCCAGGATGAGTTTTCATCCTAGAAAACTATTTTTTCCCTACCTTGGTTCAAGTGATGCTGCTACCATGGGGAGCAGAATCAATGGTGGCCCAAGTCCTTCTCCTCTGCCCTCCCCAGTCTCAATGTCATTTCCGCGGTTTCGACCACCCCTTCTTGATGGAGATGACATGCACCAAAACCTTGCACCTATCATTATAATTGGCATAGGTAGCATAGGTTGTGTAATTATGTTTCTCATCACCTTGTCCAAAATCCTAAAGTACTATTACTTAAGTAGATACAACGTTAGCAGAAGAAATCCTCCAATATTATTTGACATTCGTGGAGATTTTACCTTTTCTGATGATGAGGAGCAGGAACAAGTTATTAGGCAGCACCCCATATGGTTCGTCCCCACCGAGGGTCTCCAAGAATCAACCATAGACTCCATTACAGTTTACAGATACAGAAAAGATGAAGGGTTGGTTAAAGAAATTGAGTGTCTTGTTTGCCTAGGTGAGTTTCAACAAGAAGAGAGTCTGAGACTATTGCCAAAGTGTAGCCATGCTTTCCACGTTCCTTGCATTGATACTTGGTTGAGGTCACATAAAACTTGTCCCTTGTGCCGTGCCTCTATTGCTCATGATGCTGGCAGTGTTGGTGGTGGAACTGAGTCTGATTCAAGTTTTTCTGATATAATCGAGGACATGGACGAATGTAATGGTGGTGGAGTGAGGGTTGGTGATGAAGATTCTAGCGTAGAGGGGAGGATTTATGGAATTGAAGTTTTGTCTGAATGTGGTGAGGTGAGTGGTCATTCTTCAATTCTAATTGGTTCTGCTTCTGATGTTGGTACACAAGCACAAGCATTTGATGAGGAAAATGAATCCAAAATGAAGAGGTCTTTCTCACTGGATTCATCTTCTGCTTCAATGGTATTTCATGATGTGTTAGATATACAAAGCTTAGACACCAACACCAACACCAACTTGGTGGTTGAAAAGAAGGCTTCAATTTCAGGTAACAAAGATGATGATGATGATGTTGGTATCACTAAGGAGTTTAACGACAGTACAACTGAATACAAAGTGGCTTCAATTGAGCATGAATTGCAAGAGAGGCATTTGTCATTGAGGTTCTCTTGACACAACACAAAATTCATATTTTCCAGACGTAGCCGGAGTCAGAGCTCAACTCTTCCATTGTAAACTAGAAGCATTGCAATTGAGAATATATTCACCCGTCAAAGTTAAAGTTAAAAAAAAAAAAAAACAGAATTAGTGTTTTTTCTGTTAGAGTTTATCTAAGCTTTTAGATTTCAAGGTAAAGCAGAATTCTTCATTTGTCTTCCCATATTCCATTTACAAAATGCATGTTGCAGTATGTTCAATATTGAGAAAAAAACAATTGGGCAATTATTAGTATCCCTTTTATCTGCTACCGATGTACAGAGATTTATATATCAGAAACACTTCTGTTACACTATTTGTATTTATCTTTTTTATTAAGATATTATATATATATATATATATATATATATATATATATATATATATATATATATATCTTTTTCTGGAGGTATAGAAAAAAGAAAGAAAGAGTGTGACAGGATTTCTGCACAAATTAAGAACATTGGACACTTAGCAGTGTAATTTAGGTTGTCGATGAAGCCAAATCATATAATTTCTACTACCTATTATGTCATGCCCAAATTATACGTTTTTATTAGTCTCGTCTCTCAAGTCTTTTGAGTTATTTTTTCCCTCTAAAAAAAGAATTCTTTTGAGTTTTCCACGTCATTTGATGTTGAGAGGGATATTAACAGTCCTATTTAAATTGTTTATGAATTTATTCTAAAATAAAAAATAAAATAAAAAGAAAGGTATATTTATTCTTGATTTAAATTAAAATTTCTAGTTAACTTAACGTACTAAATCGTAGTAGAAACGTCTGAGCAAATAAAATATGAGAAGAATGAATCCTCCATTGCTTTACAGGATATGGTTTATATTCTTTCCAATAGTCTGTGACTATTCATTTTTAAATATTTATTGTCATACAAATTCAAAAATATAAATAATTATTTTAATTAGTTTTGTCAAGTTTTGTATTTTATATGCACTTTGAAAGTGCTCTCATATTCTTCCCATGTAACTTTTTCTTCGTGAAATCTCTATCAAACAGGCTGGAAATTCAATTTTTAAATTTTGAATAAATAGTTAACTTATGATTCGGCTCAGCGAAAAGAAAATGAATAGAAAAATAAAATGGATAGCAACGTATTTAATAAAATAATAATAATAATAATAATAATAAAAATTTCCTTTCAATTAAAATTTTTGAATTATTGTTTCCTGGAACAAACAAAAACGTTGAGTTACAATGAATTAGTGAAATGTTACAGCTGATAAACAGAAGTGTGAATCATTCTGGGATGCTTTGGGTTCCAGCTCCATTAAATTGTATTCAAATTCAATCAATAATGGTTTCTTTTATATCATTAATATTTATTTTAATAATTTATTAATTTTTGACCAAATTATACATAACTGCTGCCAAAAACTCGCACACAACAACTTCATTCAATAATGCAGATAGCAATGTATCGATTATAAAAGCAGAACAAATAATAAATTGAACAGAAAATTATATAATAAAAAGAAATACACGTTGATTATCCTCTTACTTTACCCTAAATCCAAAAATTTGACTAGATTATGAGAATCTAGTTTCAGACAGCACAACCCAAAAAGAATAATCGGTTCGTGTGTTTCGCCATAACACGAAACATTAACTGCTTTAAAATCTTTGTGGGCAAAGTTGAAGCCGTTATGAATGGTCTCAAAAGAGCAAGAGATTCCTTGTACCCTTTTACCTTCATTTCGTGCATTAGCGTAACTATTCCAAGAGGGAAAGAAATTAGTTGCAGCTAGCTAACAGTTCCATGACTCTACCATGGAACATGTAGAATTGTTGACAATAAAGTAAAGCAAAGGAACAAACATGTCCTTTTCTTCACTTGTACCTTTTACTTTGCCTTTTCTAATTCTGTCCTCTCTTTTTCTTCTCCAAGTCCAATTCATGATCATGAAAGCCAGATCCTAATTAATCACTTAATTATTTAATTAGATTTAATATTGGAAGAACCCCACAAACAAAGTTTCCTTTTTTAGTTTAAAACGCTTTTTCCCTTACATTTCTCACTCTACAAGGATGTTCTTTTCTTCCATCCTTATTTCGTTGGCTCTGTTTTCATATAACTGGGACATTCTTTTTCATTTTTTATTTTTTTAATTTTAATTTTCTTCTATTGACTGAGGAGTTGAGAGAAGCAATCCCAAAACCCAATCACCTTCTTATGTTTGTTCACAAAGTTGAATTTGGTATCAACTGACTGATAAGGAAGGGATTGCATAGATTCATACATAATTGGGGCTGAGCTTTTTCCCATGATGGATTCTGCATTTTTGCTTTCTGGGTGCTTTTGAAGCCCTCATTCTTGATGGGACTTGTTTTCACCAAATGGGCATGTGTATTCTTACTCTGCTGTTGTCTCATAACTTCTGGGGTATATTCAGGCAAGTTTGCTCTGTTAACTTCAAAGTTTCATGACTTATACGTTATTTAGCTTCAAGGCAACGTGTTTGGTGCATTATCTTACTTGTCCCTTTTTTCTATTGAATGGCCTTGCCTTGTTCTAGTGGAAGGGTTACATGGAGGTTCTAAAGTGAGAGGAGTGAACTTAGGAGGGTGGCTGGTTATCGAAGGTTGGATCAAGCCTTCACTGTTTGATGGCATTGCCAATGGAGACATGCTTGTGAGCCACTTCACATTTTGTTTATCCTTTTTTATTTGAAATACACGGGGGGTATTAATAACTTACTTAGCTGATTTGCGTCCTGATATTCAAAATTATGTAGGATGGGGCAGAGGTGCAATTTAAATCAGTGACATCGCTGAAGTATGTATCTGCTGAGAATGGGGGAGGAATGAATGTAACAGTTGACAGAGATGTCCCATCTTCATGGGAAACCTTCAGGGTAAGATGGCATTTGTGTTCTTGTTTTTAATGTTCTATATCCGGAATTATACGTTGAATGCATGTATTTATCTAGAGTAATAACAATATGTCAAATGTTTAATCCATATCCACTTGCTGAATTTGTCCATTTCCTTGCTTCATCTATGTGTGTATTAAGTTGATTTATCCGTTTGAAAGCCGTTTCATTTTTTAATACACCAATTTTTTTAAAATATGTAAGCTTGAGTATCCTTCAAACTGGAACTATTTTATGGCATACTAATGACTTGTGACTGCCAAGGTGAGCTTCTATTGAAACTGACATGGCTTACTTGAAAGAACCACTAAAATACTAACATATATGGAACCATCTAATCTAATGTTAGTTCAACAAGTTATGCTTTTGCTGACCTAAGACAAATCCATAAAGATTAAATATTCAGATGAAAGACAGTGTAATTAGAGCTTAATGGAATAGGCTAGTTATATGCAAGATTGATTCTCAAGAAGAATGCATTATTAAAAATGTTCATTGCCGAAGTTAATAACCAAGCAACAGCCCAATGGATAGGCTTCTTTCAGGTTGTTGAATCTTGATCAGTTCTAAAGCAGCTACTGCTGTATGCTACTAGTGGCTGTAATTCTTAGTAGGCATCTCTTTTCTTCTAATTTCTCAGTTTCACGTGCTATTTTATCTTGGAAAGGTGAGAGTTACTTCCTTTATCATGTGTAATTGAATAAATATGGAAGGCACCAATATTTTAGCAGCAGTTCATATGTAGCAATGGAATTGTAAGAATTGATCTCGCTAGAGTGATGTGTGGAACTGGAAACTTTATTATTTCTCCTTATTTATGTTGCAGTTATGGAGAGTATCTGAATCAGAATTTCAATTTCGTACCTCTGAAGGCCAATTTCTTACGTGTGATGGTGGAGGCCACTTTGTCTCTGCAACAGCAAAATCTCCTTCAACATCAGAGACATATGAAATTGAGCGGAGTGGAAAAAGTAGGATTCACCTCAAGATGAAGGGTGGGGCATACCTTCAGGTATTCATTTTTCAGATTCCTACACAAGTAGAAGTCAATTAATTGCATGTAAAATATAATGTTGTGTTTCCACAAGATTCTTTTGTTATCAGGTTCAGCAGATGAATAAAATAAAAAATAGTATGAGATTGTAAACTATGTGTGGTCCTGTATAATCATTTTCAATTTCAACATTTTTATGGATTTTGCTTCAAGAACTATGCTAAGATCTAACTGGAAGCTATTGAACTTGAGTCACACAGGAAGTATGAGATTTGGTACAGGGTTTATAAATTATTAGGCCTTGGGCTCTCCAACTACACCAACAAGCTTTTGTGGTTTGATTTTTACAAGATTCTTATCACAACAATACCATATTTAAGGATCTTTAAGATGGCACGTAATGTTAATTTACTGCCTATGATCATATTGAATTGAACGTTTAACAGATCCATTCACCTGATTGAATATTCTGCAATACTATATATAGGCTACAACTGATGACCAGCTTACAGCGAACTACCCAGGTACACCAGGATGGGATGATAATGCTGCCACATTTGAAATGACAATTGTATCAAATAGTTTGCATGGAGATTACCAGCTAGCAAATGGATATGGGCATAATCGGGCAAAAGACGTTCTTAGGGTAAAATCACATGTTACAAATATCTTCATTATCTGTGGCAGGATTATGCTTTTGTTGAACATGGTTTGCTTTTATTTTCTGGAATATTTTTTATTATTATCCATTGCAAATGTCACACATACTGGTGTTCACAGCAATTTGTTTTTTGAGGCCCGGGGGGGTTGTTCTTTTGTCCTTCAATCCAACTTATATAAATTTCATTTATGCAAATTCTTTTGCCAATGAAAGCCATAATATTTACAAAATAAAATATCAGATTGTGTTCCCTATTTGATCGCTCAGCTTTCTGTAACTGCAGAGACATAGAAATAACTTTATCACGATAGAGGATTTCAAATTTCTATATAAACATGGAATAAATACTGTGAGGATACCAGTTGGGTGGTGGATTGCTTTTGATCCTGATCCTCCAGGTCCATATATCGGAGGAAGTCTTGAAGCTCTAGATAATGCATTTTTATGGGCACAGTAGGTTTTGATTTTGCTGCATTGTCTTCAAGGTTTTTAGCATAATTGGAACTTTGTTTTTCCTTCTGATAACATCCCTAATTATCAATACATCATGTTGCAGAGAATATGATATAAAATGCATAATTGACCTTCATGCTGCTCCTGGTTCTCAAAATGGAATGGAGCATAGTGCAAGCCGAGATGGATTTACGGGCTGGCCAACTTCTGCAGATTACATTTCCGAGTCATTACATGTTATTGATTTTTTAGTTTCTAGGTATGTTTTAAATGTTTAAACATATTCTGAGATATTGTTCATGTTATCAACTAACAAACATCCAAGCACCCTACAAGAAATTCATGATAAAGAAAATAGCATTGATGTTCTCCCCTACAATTGCTTCTTACTAGGATGAGGAAATGACATTTGTTGGCTTTATGGTTTAGCAAATGCTTTGTGAATTTGTCTTTACTTTAACAGACATTCTCATTTGCAGATATGCAAAACATCCTTCCTTGCTGGGAATTGAGCTATTGAATGAACCATCTGCTGCCTCAGTTTCATTAGATGTTTTGATTCCATATTATAAACAGGGCTACCAAATTGTTCGCAAATACTCGTCATCAGCTTACGTGATAATCTGCCAGAGAATTGGCGTTGCAGATCCTATGGAACTTTATCAAGCCAACATAGGATCTCACAACTTAGTTTTGGATTTGCATTTCTACAATCTCTTTGACCCATTTTTTGTTAATATGAGTGCTGTGGATAATATTCAATACATATACAAAAGCCGGGAAGGTCAACTGCAGGCCTTAAACAATTCAAATGGCCCACTTGTTTTAGTTGGTAAGACAGACATCCATCATTATTTAGATGTTTCACAGTTACAAACCTCGAAATTTTAACATCCTTTTGTGCATGCAAACATTGTCTGAATTTGAATAACTTTTTTCCCCTTGCAAAAAACCACGTTCTGTCCATTTCTGGGTGAAAAACTTAGTAGTCAGGACCGTCACACGTGCCCACGATTCCAATCAATTTCTATGTGCCTCATTTATATTTAGAGAACTAGTAACACTCAACTACAAGTCATGTAGAGATTAATGGGACCTCTATGGCTCCAGATCATCTAATAATTTATCCTTCTACGTGGCCATAACTTGAAAGTGGACTATTTTCAGGAGAGTGGGTGAATGAGTGGAACGTGACAAGCGGATCCCTAAAAGATTATCAGGACTTTGGAAGGGCACAGTTAGACGTCTATAATGCAGCTTCCTTTGGATGGTGTTATTGGACACTGAAAAATGACAGAGAACACTGGGATTTTGAATGGAACATTAGGAACAACTATCTTCAATTAGGTAAGTATTATACATTTGGTTGCAAACTGGCATTCCTCTCATTGCATGTACATTTAGAATATCCTAATGCTCGTGTGTATTTTTGCAGGTAACTCACCCAGCAAACGGAGCTTGAACATTCTAGGATTTTTAGGATTGGCATTCACCTGGTTTTGTCTACTTCAATTTTTGTGACATCTTTTTACCAGGACTGGGAGCAAATTTTATACATCTATTTCTTGGTTTTTTATTTTTTACTTTTCCATCTTGTTCATATTGTTGAATATTGCGGAATGCAATATGCAAAATTTCTGCATGATGCTTATTCCATAATTTTCTTAGCCGTATTTCATGCAAATAACTGAGAATTCTGATATTCGAAGTCCTCTTTTACAAATAATTATATATTAGGATGCTAGTCGGTGAACTCAAAAGTACTCTTATTCCTTAATTAACAAATTCTTTCTTCCGAAATTCATTATATGTTGTCTCTTTCCACAGACTAGTTGCAGGCTATTTCTCTCTACACTCCAATAGTTTCACTTTACCCCTTTGAAATTCCGGAATGTAAAATCTTTCCTAGTTAACCTTTCTCCAATCAAATAGAGGGTTAAAAAACAAAAGGCCATAGTTGCATTATCCAACAGGTTGGGCTGGCCCATCTGTTAACACAGATTGGCCCTAAATTGGACTGGGCTGAAAAAGATAGGCCCAGGTTTGGGTCTGGTACAGTACTATATATTGCGGTGCACCAACATAAAAGCCACTGTTCCACTTGCCTTGTTATCACATGTGATCCATTCCTTGAGGAATCTGAAACAACTCATACAAGCAATTAGATACCCATTTTGAAGAGAATGTCCACTTCGGCTTCTTTAAACAAATCTTCCACTCTTCCAAAACACTCCTCTTTCAAATATTAATTAGGATGGAGAATTATGTAAATTAATCATTGTGTTCTTCAAACTTTAATCCTCAACTTAATATCTTTCAGTATCCGAATCAAATATGAATTTCTTAAGCTGTATTCATAGGTACGATTGCTCCAAGATTTCTTAATAGTGATAATTAATAAGGAGGAATATTATGACCTGTCCATTAGTTATGTGTAGACATTACCAAAATGCTGTTCTATCCTCACAAATATTATAGCTATTAGAAGATAATATGTCTTGCTTTGAGTTTTTGCTTTTTTTAGCAAAATACCAGACTATAACCTTCAAGCTAGAGTTACCTATTTATATGCAGACATGGCCATCAAAAAGTTGACACTACTCAGTAAAAGAATAGGAAGTGAAAAGGTTGTCTTTGGACTTTCATTATGTTGTGATGATAAAAACTTGAAGGCAGTAATAACTTTTACGTATCATAAAAGAATAAGGAGTGAAAAGGCCGTCTTAGGCTTAATGGGATATTGACCAATTAATCATTTTTAAAATCATGAGATGGTTATAAAAACTTTGTCATCTTTTCTTAACATTCATATAATACTTTTAGAATAAATAATGTGACAAAAAAGTATTCTAGAAATATATTATGGAAATTTTAAGAATTGTTAATTTTTAATTTGTAATTTCTAGAATTTTTAATTTGTAAACGATCAATTCTATATGTAACTATTATTTGATCGTTTTATAGAATTGTTACATATGTTAAATTGTTAATTTTTTGTAATAATTTTTTTTAAATTGTACTTAAAGAAGTAGTTTTTCATGAATTGACGACACAACATTAAAATCAAACTCTTGTATGATTATGTCCAAAACATAAAATGCAGGTAGTAATATTCACAACACAACAAACACTGGTAAACAGAAAATAAAAAATATTAAGTGGAAAAACAGTTCTTAATTACCAAGAGAGGGGAAAAAAAAGGCAATATCTTGAGACTCCCTCTCCCAAATTTTTACATTCTGTCCAAACTTAACACAACCAAAAAAAAAAAAAAGAGAACTTTGAAAACTATTACAGAACATAGGACAAAGCCATGCAATGCGTATCTAGGCACGGCTAAAAATGGGTAAACTTGAAAGTGGAAATTAAGGACTCTGAATATATACATAACACTAACAATAAACAAATTAATTAAGGTCACTTAGACCTGAAAAAGAAAATACTAAGCTCTTGACCAATGCTTCCTTCAGGGTCAATCAAATGAAAAGACTCAGAACTGGAGGAGCCACGAACCCTTTGAAAGTTGGCTCGAAGGTACATAAGCTCGTCTTCTTGATGCTGCAGGTCCTTGCAACTGTTTATAACACCAGTCCCTACCGCAACAGAACTCATCAAGCTCAGTGCTTCAAAGTCACCATTTGAAGGCCTACGCTTAACAGCATATCCCACTTTCCTCCCATTGCAGTACATGCTCCAAAGAGGTGTGGAGAAAAGGTTATGGTTTTTGTTGTCGTTGCATGAACTCTCTAGCACAATTCTGAGTGTGCCCCCTCTCATTTCCTTAGCCAAAACGCTCGTGGGAACCACCAACTCTAGCAGCAGAATCGGGTTGCTTGAGTTGGCATTAGTCTGGATGCAGAAACTAACCTTTCCTTTGCGGTATCCAAAGATAGTGCCAGTGATTGTGGCACAAGTCGTGAGATTTTGTGGTGGACACTTTTGGGATTGGTCTTGCTCTTCAAGGAAGAAGGTGCAGTTGCAGGTGGGAATTAGAAGCTCCATGAGGGAACGTAGCAGCCTCCATGATCTTACTTGTTTCTGGCAATCCACTGTGGTGACAGTGCTGGCACCAACCGTGGTGGCGATGAAAGCCATATTTTATATATATGCTGCCTTAAACTGGTTTCTACTTTCTTCTTGCTTTGGTTGCACTTTGCACCTCTTGGTTTCAGGACTTGTTTAAATAACAAAAGCACATGTGTCTGTGTAACTAGATGATAATTCATAATTCTGGTCACTTTTTTCTTTTTCCTTTTTCATGTTCTACGGTTGACCCCGTGTTCCTCATCAACACTAGTTCTAAAGGAATCTAGTGTTTGATTGGTTTGAAGCAATACTTGCTTATTTTTGTCACCAACTTAAATGTTTTATCTAAGAAAAAGGTGTATCAGTATGCATATGACATATCTTTCACATGTAATGGATAGAGATTAGGAAAAAAAATAAAAGTGAGATAAGATAACTAATGCAATGAGATAGAGAGAGAAAATAGTATTATTCAAATTATATAACTAATTTTATCATCCATCCAAGTGGATTATGATGCATCCAATGCAATAATGTCTCTTTTTGTCCATTCTTAATCATGTGAACTTTTCAAAATTTTCCTTTCACTTTTGCCTTAATATATGATATATCCCTTCTATATTCTATGCTGTTTATTTTTCTTCGTCCACACAAGTACTTGGGCACCATGTTGCAACATAGCTTAGAATCTTATATATATGAGAATAATTGAGGTGTCCAAACTTTCATTTATGAATTAATAAACTTTTCTCTATGATTGAGGAGACAAATTTGGGATGGTGATTTCCGTACCACCATAACACCAAAATCTAATCATTAGTGTATTAGATTTCAAAAATTATGAGCCTGTACTCTCTATCTCTATCGATGGGTGACGAATAAATAACGCACACAAACATGATATTGAAGAATGATTAGTGTACATGATTTTAAAAATGGTTTATTTATAATTTTAAAGATTCGAAAATTTGAAAGGATAGAGATTTGGATCATGCACAACAAATACATTTAGCAGTATATGTATATATCCTTGTTTCTTTACTGATATGGAACTGTCAATGCTCTGTGTTCGGATTCATGTTATGTCAGCTGTCACTGTTAATTTCAGTCCATTTAAAACGTTTGCTAAAGAAGATAATGGAGGGTCTGATTGTAAAGTCGTGAGGCAAAAAAGTTTTAGTTTTTTAAATAATTTCAAATTTATATCATTTTAACATGTTCAAATATGGTCTAATTCAGTCTTAATATGATTACTACCCAATACAAAGGTCAACACTGAGAACAACCATGAGAAAGTAAATGGGTACTTCAATAATGATACAATCAAACTGAGAAGAAACCATACTGAAAATGGTCCAAATCTCATTAAGAGGTCTCATTAGGAATAATAGCAAATTCCAATTGGTCAACACACCAAGACAAATTCAACAGAGATAATTTGAATATCTTTTTCATTCTAAATGCTACCATGCTAGGCTGAAAGGGAAACTATGACCCTATTAACTTCAAAGAATGCCACTTTTGCCACCTTTAGTTTAAATACATATGGGTTTATGCATGCAAACATTGATGGAAGTAAAATCACATTCAACAATTCAACAACAATAACTGTAAATGTATGTGTTGTGACAAGTTTTTGTTCCATCCATGGCACAAGTATAGTAGTACATTACTGTTAGTACCTTTTTTCTTCTTCTCAATGATAAGAAGGTCCTACATCTCATTTGTATGGGATAGTTGACCCACCACAAGACGGCACTATATCTTAAGTCTCTGTCTTGTTCTCATAATTCCATGTGGGAGGAACTTTGGGGCCAAGCGTGGTCTGTCCAACCCTAAATCAATTTCATTTTACTTTTTAGTCACTCTTGTTCTCCCTTTCCCCTTCCATGCGTCCCCTTTCTAAAAGAACACAATCACCATAAATTCGTCCTTTCCTTCTTTTCTTCCTTCTTCTACAAGCAACGGACCCATTCTTTCTGTATAATGTTCCCCAATTAAAATCCTCATCTCTAGCCCCATCTCTGCAAAATTGTAACTCAATAGTTCTTCCATATTCAAATAATCTAACCAAAAGCTAAGTTTTTCTTTTTAAACATATATATAATACTTTTTGAACTTGTACCAAACAAATCCACACCCATTAAACATATTGTACTATTTGCTTCTTTAATATAACTAGATATTTTCAAAGATTATGCAGATTTAAACAAAATCAAATGGTGTTAGTAAGTGTTAAAATTTAGCTTAACATTAAACGATAACGCCAAGTGGTGTTTGTTTGCTCATGATCAAATAAAATGGTGTATTAACTTTAGAGAGGAGGAAAGAGAATTCAATTTGCAACTAGGTGGACCTTGGATGTTGTTTGCTTTTTGGTTGTGTAATAACACCAAATTTTGTCATTTAATGAAATTGATGTGAAGTTTTGATGGTGTATTGGCACGTTAGGAGACAAAAGAAGGTGTGCCGACTCATTCATTTTGTGTTGATCACTGTGGGTGGAAACTTGGGAGAGAAAAAATGTCATATATTTGTCGACAAAAATCTTTTTTGTTAACGTTAGCCAGCATTGTGGGTTGTGTGAGGACAATTACAGTGACGCAGAGAGTCTGAATCATAAGCGACATGAGACAGCACAGTCTGTCCCAATGTTCTTCTCTCTTCTTTGTGACTGTGAGCTGTACTCAACATTATTGTTACAGATATTCGCTTGTCAATTTTCTTATGATTCATTCTTAACAATCTTGGTGGGTCAATTCCTAAACCATCATGCCAAAATTTAGAGTGTATGTTTTCTACTTCAAAGAAAAACCTCCAAACGCCTCAGAATATTCTATGCTTCATAGTTCATATACTATCCTGACATATTCATCACCGGCATTCACCAGATGCTCAGGTCTAGGTTTAGGCTTGGGCTTGGGCTTAATGTATTGATGGGTGTTAAAATGTCGCACTTTCTTCTCGCATGACCATATTTTCTCACTTCACGTCCGTATCTCGAGTAAAATAATTAAAATATCATATTAATAATTTTTATTTCAAATTCTAATTTTTTTCCTATGAAATTTCTGCACCTTCCTGAATATGTAAATTTGGTTTCTTATGCTATTATTTCTATTCATTTGGCGACGTGAATAATCGATAATATTATGTATCTATTATAGGTTTCTACATTAAAATTACATATTGAGACCTAACATTGCTTCATTCGAAATAATTCTGCAAAATTTAAATTAAGTTTTGGAACACCTAATTTAGAATACATTTTTGAATTGATTTTTCTAGAAATACATTCCAAAAAAATCAATCCTAAAAAATACATTTTGAATTAGACGTTTCAAAATATGTTTTTAAAAATACATTATAAACAAAAATTTCCTCACATATTTCAGAAAATGGATCATGAAGTATATTTACATATTCCGGATTGGTGGGTCCAAAACACCAGGAGTGTATTGCAGATCCACTAATCTAGAGTGTATTTTTGAAAAATTAATTCTAAAAATATATTTCAAAACATGTTTCTATAAAAATAAAATTTCTGTACTCCTAGAACTATACTCTCAATTCCAACCAAAAATCTTGTTATACCAATACTGTAAGTATTATAAGTATTAAAAAAATTGATATAAATTAAAAATCTTATTATACCAATACTGTAAGTATTATAAGTATTAAAAAAATTGATATAAATTAAAAATATTGAGAAATTCTTACCTAGTTTCTTACAATTTTTAGAATAATAAAAAATGAAAAATAAAAATACTTTAATAAAATTAAAAAATTAGATATTTGAATTTTAAATATAAATAAGTAATATAAAAAATAAACACGAAAAAAAGATTTAATTTAATTATAAAAGATGAGGAAGAAATTATGAAGGTCTAAATTGCCGTGATTTGATGTGTTGAGTTTGACCCTCCACCCAATTGGTGTCTGGTGGTTGGTTTGGATTTTAGTTGAGAAATCAACTTATATTTATACACAGCAATAATACCCAAAACCAGTGATTACACACTGCTTGTGATAAAATAAATAATCTTATTTATTGATGAATAAAACAACTTATTATTATATTTATCAACTAGTTTTAATAATTATGTAGATATATAATTTGACATAAAGATAATTAAAGAAAAAGAAAGATATTAAAGAATGTGTTACAAGGTGTGATGTATTATATATATATATATATATATATATATATATATATAATTGAAATAAAATAAAAGAAAATATCAAACATGTTTAGAAAATTTATTTCAATAACAATATTCATTGGTTAATTAAAGATGCATATGTTTTATTGATTTCTTTCTCGCAAGAAAAGATTAGAACAATATTAAAAAATATGCTTTGCAGAAACCTATTGGTTTTGAATTTGAAAAGAGAAAGATATGGAATAAAAATAATAAATGATATGTAGTAAAAGATATTGCTAAGTAAATATTTTTTTATTGTTAAAATTTGGTATAGTTTTGTCTTCTTTCGTGTCTATGTGTACGGTTTGTTACATTTTTGTATGTACGAATGATTCCTTCATCCTGCTATATATGACATTTGCCTTTATATAAATAATAGAGCATCAATGAATGATATATTTTTTATCTGTGAAACCTATGACTTCTATGATGTCTCAGAGCTCGTAGGGAGCTCTGGTGACCAAAATATTGACAACTCTTTATCTTTTCTTTCCTTTTTTTTACATCATGATGGCTCGTTGGAGCTCCTCTGGGAGTGATTACCTCACAAATCCTTCCAACCTTCTTTATCTTCGTGCCAATGAGTCATCCTCACAAGATTTAGTCTCACCACCTCTAAATAGACGAGACTATCATGTTTGGGCAAGAGCTATGAAGCTCGCTCTTCTCTGCAAAAACAAGCTGAAGCTTGTAGATGGCAACATTCGACCCTTATCACCAACAAATATGTCCTATGAAACATGGGAGCGATGCAATAACATGGTTCTCGGTTGGATTCATAGATCCATTGATGATTCCATTCTACAATTCATTCTCTAGATTGATCAAGCTTCGGAGGTTTGACAGGATCTCCATGATTGTTTT